TCTGAGACTTCTCCGCTACCTTCAGCTATGGCAACCAATCAGAATATTGAGAAAATAGATGATCTGCTTGTGTCATTGCAAAACCAGGGGAACAATATGGCTGGCTCATTTTAATTAGTCAAGTAAGTAATGTGTTTGGGTTTCTGGGTTCTTTGCTGCCATGCATACTTCTGTTCAGTAAGTCTTTACTTCAGAATGTATTACCGAGCTTTAATAGGTTAGCCAAAATACCGGTAATGCTGAATTAAGAATATAATACCAGTGTCTAGAATAAAGAGTTTTTAAAAACAGTTAGAGGTCAGAATTTGTATGAAACGGTTGGTTGAGACTGGGTCTTGTTGTTCAGTTGCTGTATGTTTTGTCATCTGCTGTTACGATATAGTACTTTGTTAGGAAGGAGAGTAGATCACTTGACAGCTTGGCAGATAAAAGCGTTACAAAATATGGCTGTAGTTAAAAACTTAAGGCTTACCGAGTAAATAACACCTCAATTCTGTACTATTCTGAAGTTGCCTCCTGGGTTACAATAATGTAATGTGAAAACAAGTTTCGGTAGAATATGGCAGTTATTGAGAGTGTGCTACGTGCTGAGTCTTTGTTAAAAATGAGCTGCAACGATCAGCTGTTACTAGGAAACATTCTGCTTTTAGAAGGTGCCTTTTTCAGAGAGGTGAAAGGCTTTGACTACAAATGAGTACCAAGAACCAGGACGACTCTGCAATGTAGTATTGTCCACAGTGTGTAACTTGGCTCTAGTTAATTGTGTTGCCGTCCTAAATCCCCCATAAGTTTCACTTAAGTGATACACTTCATTTTCTAATCTGAACTGTTTTGCATATGAAGTCATGAACTTTAAAAAAAAAAAAAAGTGGAAGGACAGTAATCTGCCTCTATGAAAGAGTGCTGCATTCTGATAGTCACTCATAGTTTCATGTCTGCTTGTGAGGAACACTTTCAAGATGAAGGAACTACATAGAAGTAAGAGAATTACTTTTGTTAGTTATGCCTAATTTTTTTTGCTTGCATGTTTTTTCCTGCAGAAATTCTGTGAAGAAAAAAGCGATGATTTTCCAGATCCTGTCAGACCTTCCGCCTCTGGATTAGGCCATGTGGAACTGATTGCTTCTGTCAAAAAGTGGCCCTCTTCTCTCAAGAGCACACACATGGCCAATTGCAGCGTCTAGCACCTAAGGCCGTGACCATAGTATTTGGGTTTTGTAGTGCCAATAATGCTGAAAAGCTATGCTTTGTTTTACTAGGGCATGGGATTGTACTGTTACCAGATTCCTGAACCTCATTAACAGTGGGGTGCTCTTTGAATTTAAAGCATATCTGGTCAGTTGTTATTGTTGTTAGAAGGTAATACACATTACCACGTTTACTTTTTTTCCTCCTCTTCCTTCTTGACATCCCCTCTTTTGACTAGAAAAGCTTGTGAAGCAGAAACATCAAATGCCTGTGACATGAGCCATGACTCATAACTGTCAGTAAGTGAAGGGATCGCATGTTTTACAGTTGAGTGGGAGAGCTAATACTGCGATTTGTTAATTGCAGTAGGTGGCAATGTAATGAGCAGAGAATTGCTTGCTGCTGTAGATAGCCAGAGGTGGGTGCTTCCCATCTGAGAATGTGATTAACGGTTTTCCATGTCTCTTACATGTAACTGTATATAGAGCAAGGGTTTGGTGGCTCTAACAAAATGAAGAAATGAAGGGGAACTTTCAGTTAAATTTTACTTTTAAAATCTTACCCTCTAAAATACCGTCAACTTGAAAAGAACTTTCTGCCTGGCTGAGGAAGGAACTCCTCTGTGTCTCTCACTCTGACTGTATGGGTTAGAACTCTGTAAAGCTGCATTAGCCATTCTCAAACCAGCCTTCTCCCTTTCATTCTCTTCATGGTTTTCCTTCTCTCTCCCTCAGTTTCATATTGCGTTTTTAAGAGAGACATAAATATCCTACTGGCTTTAAAGATCAGAAGCAGCTTTTAGGAATCCATGGCATTAAATTGCTTAGTCAGTAGAAGCTTTGACAAATAATCAAGGATTAAGGAGAGAGGAAGCAATTTCTCTACCACCTTCTAAATGCAGGAATCCCCTATAACCAGTCATTTTCCAGCTGTTACTGATGTAAATCTTCAGCTTAACTTTAGTCCAAGTAGGGGGCAAACTAGATCATTTTTAAACATTCTTGAAAATTTCACTTCATCCTGAGCTGTTGCATCTTTGTAGCATATTGAGCTCACTGCAGTTTTGAAGTGATTTTCTTTTTTCTACCAACAGTCCCCACGTCTAGTTTCTAGATTGTCATGTCTCAATTTAAAAAAAAATAATAATTGACTGATGTTACAGAATGTAAAAACAACCCACTCCAGACCATGCAGTTGTATTGTGAGGCATGTGAATTTTTTGGGTGCTCCAACTATCCAGACAGTTTTGTGATATCTCACTACAGCCTCATTCAGACATTTGTTTCTTCTCCTTCTGCACGTAGAAAGCTGTTGCTGCAGTTAGAGCCCAACAGCTGTCATGTATGGCGATTATGCCTTGGTAGAGTGTAGTTGGTATCATGTCATTTTTCATTTTTGTTATTTTAAATAACAAAGAATAGTCTGTAAATGGTTTTTAAGTTACTCTAGTCTGTTTACTGTGTGTTTTTCCCTTAACGTGTGTGCTTAGTTGAGCCGTGTAGAGTTTTTGTTTGTTTTAATGGATTTTCCTGTTCGTCAGTCTGTCATAACGTTCACTTTCTCTTTCTGTCTCTCTCTTTCTCTCTCTCATTGAGAGGCATTGAATTACGTTTTCAGTAGTAAGGCTTCTTGCCGATATGAAGGGAACTTTTCAGAAAGAGACCTGCTCTGGGTCATTTAATTTTGAATACAGTTTTCAATCGTTCAAGTTTTGGATGGTTTATATCTAATGTGTGTTTCATTTTTTTGGAAAGCTATATTTTGTATTTAGGAAATGGTATACTATTTTGCTATTTGTACTGAGTGAGTACATTGGCATAAATATAAAAATTTATATATATACATATATATAAAATATTCTTTTTGCCACACATTTTTGTGGTAAATTTGTGAGTTTGTCTGATGTTCTACCACAACGTGGCGTCTGATAACAGTGGGGTGGGGTGGGGTTTGTTATGTCTTTATTGAGTATTTAAGTACTTTTTGCAACATAAATAACTTGTTCATCTCTCGCCATTCCATCAGGCAATTTATTGTTCCAGCTGGCTATGAGAAGCTTCACTGCGTGTTTTGATGTGTCTGTCACTCAGCAATACGATCTAGTAAGGAAACCCGTAGGCATTTAGGCATATATAAAATAATGGGGTTTCATTCAGAATGAGCCATTCAGCTTTTATCCACTATCATTGTCTATTTAATATTTTATTATTAGCGCCTCTGTGTTTTAACTCTTAATTTATGATTATGCTAAAATGTTTAAAATTTTAATCATGATAAAAAGAATTCCCTGCTTCATAATGTCCAGAGCTGCTTTAACCCTGAACCATACTTTTTCTTTCTGTGATTTTTTTTTTTCTTTTTCCCGCTAAGACAAAATATTAACAAAATCTTGTTATGGTTCATGACATGAAAACAGCAATCTTGCAGCATTGACTAAAAGCTATATGAGGCTATGTAGAAGACTGAGAATTATGGACCGAAACAACTTCCAGATGGTTGTGGAAGTCGATAGCCAGTTATTCGAAAATGAACTGGTGGCTTTTGCAGGATCGCAGTCCCAGGACAAGCTGTTGGGTGTCATCTGGGGCCTTCATACACAGAAGTAATAGGAATTATAAATTCACTTGTGTGCTGCTTCAATTTGTTCCGTTGTTCTGAAGGGGTGTATCCTTACGTTGAAGTGCTGTTGGTCAGTGCCAAGTCACCAGGGACCAATTCTCCATTTAACAATGGGTGTCCAAAAGAGAACTTCATACCAAGACTGCTACAGCTCCAGGGGGAGGGTATGTTTGAATTGTGTGTGTATTTTAGGTCGCTTATGAAGAGAAGAGAGAAAAAAAAAAAGTTACAAAAAAAAAAAAGGGCTGTGCTATCCCATTTTTCACTTCCGGATAACACCTTTCTTTTCTTATGTTAAATTTATCTTGTTCATTTTAGGTCAATGTTTAAATGTACAACACTTTGAACATGTGATTTGGTTACAAAAAGTATTTGTCTTATGAATGAAGAGATTGCTCAGTGGTTGATTAGTGCTTGAACTGCTGCTTGCAAACAGCTGTTACAGAGGATAAAGAGAGGTTTGATAAGCCAATAAAGAGCTTAAAGACAGGCTGCAGGATTTCATGGCAGAAAGACCCAAGAACAGCGTGAGCCACATCTGTATTTTATCAGTCCTGGACATTTACTTTTGTAATTTAAGCAGTTGATACTGATAATTGGAGCTTACTCTGCTTTTTTTTTTTTTTTTTAAAATCTTTGTGTTTACTCCTCTGCATGCTCACACTGGCATGCCTGTTAGCTCTGAGCAGATGGAGTGCTTGCCTACAGAGATGAGGCGGTGGCATCACATCTAGTCCATTTTGGTTGAGAAAGTTAGAAGATACTGAGATAGTAGTCTCTATAAATATCAAGTTTCTGACATTATTATAAAGGAGAAGTTACTATTATATCCACAAAGCAGCAATTAAGTACAGAAGATATTACTAGGTGAAAAATGAAAAACTGTAGAGCTGCATTGCTGGGATGGGTTTTCTGTATCTTGGTTTTTTTTCTGCTGCTTGAGCTCGCTCTTAAAAGAATTGTTAAAGCTAAACCTTCATGTTAGATGTGGGCTATACTCTTCAGCTGTATATACCTCTAAAGCACCCATGGTCCACTATCTGCACAGCGTCCGTAGTGCATGGTGGTTTACAGAACAGCGATTTGCTGGTGCAGATTAAAATCTAGGGAATCGTACCTGCTAGCCACCAGTTGTGACTTCTGCATACATTCTCTTGTCCGCTTATACACTATGTGTGTGTGTATATATATATATAAAAAACCCCCATGTGAATAACACATAATACGCAGTTATTAGGTAAACATCTCCTCTGGCAGGAAGTTACTGGTGCTCTGTGCTTAATTAGCAAGTCCACATTTTGTTGTCAGTTGCCTCTTCACTGTCTGATCTTTGAACAGGTATTCAAGCCAAATGCTTTGCTATTATTTTAACATAAAAATAGTTGAAGAAATAATTTCAGCCTTGCTGTTTCAAAGTGGATGTTTAATCACCAATCACTTTATAATTACTTCTAACTACTGACAGGGTGGTTACTTCCTATGTAGTTTTAAGATAGAATAAAGCATGAACAGTTAAGTGTTTGTAACTTTGGCAGGTTTTTTTACTGGAAATACTAAGAGCCTGGGCAGCTGTATCAGTTGACATTCCCCTGATTTAGATAAGTTGAATTTTTATTATTTTTTTAAAAGCTTCTATTGTGATTTTGATTTAGGATATCGTTTCTAAAAGAAAACTTGTCTGAACAGATTTTCTACTCCTATGACCTTTCCAGAGTCTTCAGAAAGAATACCAAACAAGTCAGAAGCTTGCATTTGTCTTAAAACATAGTTTAAATTGCAATTTGAGTAGCAGGAAAGATGACTTATTAAAAAGTGAAATCAAAAAAGTTGTTACTGGACTGAAAAAGCTACAGGTAGTTTCCCCCAAGGGTACGTACGTGTGTGTGCAGGCATGCACGTGCACATTCGTTAAGAGTTAGAAAAGAGTTTCACTGTCAGTTTTTGAATCCCATGCCTCTGTATGGCAAATGGTTGGGTTACTTTTTCAGGGTAAATACAGGAGAGGAGTACAAGGAATTACGGATATTTATCTGAGTGATAGAAGCAAGAATGAGGAGAATGAATTGCTTTGCATGCGCTGAGCTATGAGTTGTAGGTGGAAAGTGAGAAGAGGAAATACTGATCACTGGTGACTTCTCATTAGTGCAAAATTTATTTTCAAGGAATAGGTGTGTTTGGTGTTCCAGAGGACTGGTGGCAGCTCTGTTGTTTTACAAGCCAAAAGGAAACTAGTACTGAGATGCTTGCTTTGTTTGTTTGTGGTTTTTGTTTTAATTTGGAGTAGTCTTTTGGGATAGATTGTGAGCACTTCATGTTCATATTCAGACCAATTATGCCAGTGGTGTACAACAGTAGTCACCTGAGCCCACAAAGGGGTACGTCTGTGCCCACTGCAGGCTGGGAATCGAGCATAGAGGGTCACTGTGGGAAATGTGGTAAATGTTCGTTAGATACAAGGAAGAATGCAGTGGCAGATAAACTCCTGTAAAAGTGTACTTGTAAAATTCTCTAGTTGAGTATGAGGCTCAGAGGGGTTACACAGGAGGAGAGGCTTTTCCTTTCTTATAATCTGTATAGGTATGTAAATATGCAATGCCTGTATATTCTAGGATATATATATGTATATAGAGGAATCGTATATCTATTATATATAAAAAATTAGTAGACACATGCATAGAATACTGTTATATTTACATTTTTATAAACCTGAAATAATACTACTTTTCCTTAGTCTGAGGTTATTTACCAAGGTTTTTGTAGTAACTCATTAATAGTTGTATCAACACCTTTCCGTACTGTAGATGTGGCGCTGTTGGTAACGTTGCTCCAGAAACTTGCTTGGCTTGTGAACGTCACTAATATCCACGGTTTGAAAACAGCTGTACACTTTTGTATTTTTATATATTTTGATTAATAATTGCAGATGTGGTGTTAGCTAAACAGTAGACCTGACAGCCTCGGTTGAGAGCCTGCCCACTGGATGGGCTCAGGAAATGCAGCAGTGGCTGTCTGCTTCTGTGTGCTCCCCTGCCAGCTTTCCTCAAGTGACTCCTGACTTCGGCACCTTTTCCATTCTCAGTGTCCCAGCAGCTCATGCCGATAGGGAATGGTGGTGGCTGTGTTACTCCGGAGGAGCTGGACTGCAACCAGCAGCTCTCTCCCAGTGAGGGTTATTAATTGTTCTTGCATAGCAAAGGATCCCGGTTGCTGCTTCGCTGGGTTGTGTTTGGATCGGGAAGGTGAAGCTTAATCTGTCATTCCTCTTCTCTTTATTCTCATAAAGGCAGGCATCTTTAATTTTTTTTGTTGTTTTTTGACTGATGTTTTACTGTAACAGTCAATATCTAGAAAGCTCTTTCCTTGAAAGCTGGTGAAAGCTCTCCTTGGTTTCTAGCTGTGAGGAACCCTGCTGTGACTTGTACTGATTTCTTACAGATTGTGTGAGAAATTAAACCCCCTGAAAGAAATACAGATCATAAAATCAATAGCATGTATTTTGTCCACCATGACTCTTCATGCCAAATCAGGGGTGTTCTGCTGCAGTTTGGCATGAGGTTGATTGATAGACATTATTGCCCTGGTACAGGCTTCATCGAAGCACTTCTGCCAAACCAAAAGCAAATGGCCTCATTTCTTCTCTTTGAGGCGTCAGTTTGCAGGTCTGATCTCTGCTGTTTCCAGAGATCTGTAATTTTTGCTGTTATGGTTCATGAAATTGCCTCACAACATTCAAGTGTATTGGGACAAGAGTGGGGAATCCAAGGATTTCCTTGCTTGCTGTGGGATACTCACAGACATTCTGCGAGCACTTGGTTCAGACTCCAAAACTCCAACACCCAGCAGCAGCCCGCTGTACAATATTCCAGTTGTCTGCATTTGCTCCAGGATTCAGATTAGCAAAGGGTCCTGTGTTCAGATCGCATAAATGGCCTTCAATTCTTTTTAGTCCCTGGAACTGCCCCTTGGTGAGCCGGGGAAGGTCTGGCCTGTGTGTCCCTTGTGCAGGTGGGTCCTCACGCATGAGTGCGGCCGTCCCGGAGGTCGGGATAATGGCACTTGAGGGGAAAAGCTCCCTTTTGAAAGGAGGGAGCGTGGCATTCCTGGGTGTTGCAGAACTGGGAACACATTCCAGTATTCCTGAAGCTTTTTTTATTGTGGATGCTATTTGAGATGAGGTTATTTGAAATATTTACATTTGAGCTCATTATTAATGAGTAAGCTCCAAAAACCTTCAGAGCAGAGCTTTCTACCTCTGTTAGTAGCTGCATCTTTGAGTGGCTTACCTGCCTTTCTGCCATGTGTTCCTGGAGCGCACTGGTCGACCGCTGAGCTGCCTCTTCCACTGTCCTGCAATGTGAAAGTAGCACCAGATATTCCTTTGTGCATTTCTGTGTATATGGCTTTCGTAGTTGGGATTTTCAAAGCACTGATACCCGGTGTTTTCAGTTTGTTCTATGAGGGGATATTTTATTTGCATCTATGTTTTTAGCTATCCTGTGATAACTTGTTGAATATTAAAAAATAAAAATATTTTGCTTCTATTGGGACATTTGTATACTCGCAACTATATTTCTGTAAACAGCTGCAGTCAAGAATAAAACAATGAAAGTTTTCATTTTGCAGTGTAAAGTCTTGTTGTGTTTTTTTCAAGGGCATCTTCTGTCTGCCAGGAGAAAGTGCTGTTCTTCAGTACAGAATCAACCCGTCTGGGAACTGTACGGCGCTAGGGTCAGGAAATACTGGGAAGGCAGGAGCCCGTGCCGAGTTGTGCCTGTGGTGGTGTGTGCTGCTGGAGCTGTTGCGTAAGAAAAGGCACTGTGTCATGCCTGCACTTTTAAAAAACATTGCAATGTTTCTTTTTGACTTTACAGCGTTAAGTCCGAAGGAACCGTTGGGTGTACTACCCCAACCCCAGCCTGCACGTTATAGAGCATTAAAGGAAATTGTTTTGTCAGCCTGGAGCAGGATTCTGTCTCTGAGGGACCTGGGGGAGAAGCAGAGGTATCCCCTGGGGTTGGTCTGGGGGCTGTTCTGCCTGAGGGAGGTAACGCTGGAAGTCCTAAGCCAAGATGACGGGAGCTCTGCCTCGCAGAATTTCTGTGCGTGTTAGCACAGTCCCCCTTTATCTGCATCTTTGGTGTATTTATGCTAACATGCTAAAAGTGAGCTGGGGTTGCTGAGCCTCAGGTGTGTGTCCCCCTTCCTGCTGACCTCCTGTGGGGATGTGACCTCTGGCAGGACCATGGGGCCACCAGCCAGGATCAGCAATTTCATCATTTTGAAAAACTACAAAAAAAAGGGGCAAGAAGAAACTGCACTTACCCCAAGAGCTGGGAGCTGGGCAGAATGCTTTACTGTGAAAGATGTAACTAGATTTATCTGAAAGGCGTTTCCCTGGTGCTGCCCCTCCTGCTGCCCCAGCGCTTTCCCCATCAGCCCTGCGCCCGCTGCCCTGGGCATCACCTGCCGTCAGGGTCAGACATAGCCATGCTGAAGCAGCCAAACGCAACCCCCTGCCACTGCCTTTTGCCCTTCTGGAGCTGCCAGCCCTGCTGCAGGCACTCATTATCCACCTGCCTCATTAGTGCCATGGGACAAAAGAAAACACCCTGAGAAAACCCTCCCTCCCCAGCCTCCTCTTCCTCTCGAAGCTCAGAGAAAAGCACTCCCCAGCCCGCGAGCCTGGCACAGGCAGCCAGAGGAACAAGACTGAGCCATGGGGCCGTGGGTTTTTGTGTTTATTAGCAATGCAGCCATTGCCTGGGGTGCATCTGGGGGCTGAGCAGGGAAGCCCCTACCTCAGGCGGCTCCCCCTGGTTCTGGCGGGCCATCCCAGGTCAGAGCCTCCCCAAACCTGATGATCATCACCCCCAGTCACGGCTGCTCTTCAGGCACTGGAGGGGCGTGAAAGGGAAGGCCTGGCTCCTGCCCAGGGTGGCTGCCTTCAGAAGGATGCTGGGAGAGGCCTCACCCTCGCGGAGCCGTCAGGCGTCTGGCAGCAACATACAACGCCTGGGTGGATGCTCCTTCCCTCACAGCACCTGCTGCAGGGGACCCCATCCCAGCCTTCACCTCCTCCTCACAAACTTCTTTGTCACGGCGTTGGGGTTCAGGCGCCTCCTGCCAGCGCCCAGGGCCGCGTCCCGGATTTGCAGATTGGCCGCACGGCTGTAGATGTCGTTTTCCGCAAAGGGCGAAACCCCGGCGATGTAGTCGGGGTCAAAGACGTTGGTCTTCTGCCTGGCCTTGCGGGACAGCCGCTGCTGCGGGAAGGGCTGGTCTTCCACCAGGTGAGGATTGTTGGCGTGCTTCCCTCCTTTCGGGGCTGGCAGCGGGTACTGCCAAGAGAAAAGCAGTCATTAAACTCGTTTCAGGGGCAACTTGCTGAAAGAGACTTCGAGATGACTGCAGGCCTCTAGAGAACTGAACAAATGAAGAACTGACCACAGGCCCGGCCCTCATCCCAGCAGCAGCTGCCCAGCATGTGAGACGCAGCTACTCACCCTGAGCCCTCGCGGGTTCAGCACCTTGGGGTTGCGGGAGAAATGCATGTGGAGGCTCCCGTCATCACTGACGCTCACTGCGACCTTCTTCAGGGTCTTGTTACCACAGTGGGGACAGAAAACCTTGGTCATGTCCGAAGTGGTCCTGCAAGACAGGTGCAGAGAGGGTTTACTGCTTCCTGGGCCACGGAATACAGGCTTAGCCCACAAGCGGGATCATCCAGCAAGCACTGCACCCCCGTGCCGAGGGCAGCGCTGCTCGGCGCGCAAACACTCACTTGAAGCAGCCGTGGCAGCGGAGGATGTAGCTCCTGGCCTGGCGGATCAGCATGCCATTCACTGCCAGCACGTGGAGGCCCATCTGCAGCAGCACATTCTGCAACGAGGAGAGAGAAACCAGGACGCCGTGAGCTGGGGCTGCCAGGAGCTTTAACCAGAGTTTGCCAGTGCAGGCAGTGACAGAGGCTGATGGAAGCAATGCCAACGGGCTTTGCAGAAGCCTCTGCAACGGAGAGAACTGGCTGGTTTTAAGACAGAAGGAGCTGTCGCAAAGCTGTTCTCATCCTGCCCCAGGGACTCAGCAGTGCGCTCCTCTGTCTTAGTGTGCTGGTTTAACCAGCCTGGAGGTTTCAGTGATTTGAGAATCTGCCCTCAGCCCGCCCTGCCAGCCCGAAGGTTCCCATGCAGGGCAGCAGCCAGCACCCACCTGCATGGCAAAGTCAGTAGTGACGCAGCCGACCTGGACCCCGACGGGAGTAGTGTCACAGTGCCCTGTGTCCTGCTGGACCTGCTTGAGGTTGCTGGGCGTTATCCAACCCTCGTCATCACTCTCCTCGTCCTCCTCTTCCTCAGCACTGGCCCCATCCTCAGAGCTCTGGCACTCCTCAGCGGTCTCTGGGCTAATGGAGATGGCTTGAGCTTTCTGGGGTGGAGGAGACAGTCAGCTACAGGACAAGCCCTGCTCTGGTCAGAAACTAGGGGAGCGAGGAGAAGAGGCTCTGGGTCTCACCAGCAGCTCCTGCAGCTCCTCCTCGATGCTGGGCAGGGGGGCTCGCCAGTAGAGGAAGGAACTGAACTCGTCACTCTCGGATGGGACTGTGCTCTTCTCGGGACTGGGCTGATGCTGGCCTCTCCCTGGGCGCTTGTGCTGTGGGGGGATGCAGGATGGGGGTCCCTTGCCCGCCGCTGCCCGTGGGCTCTGCGGGGCTGTGTTCCCCATCCCCAGCGCCGTACCTTGGAGCGCTGCGTCCCTCTCCCTTACCTTGGTGGGCAGGTGGAAGCCGGCGAGGTGCAGGGGGGCCTCGGGGTGCCGTGGGGTGGAGCTGAGCTGTACCTGGCGGGGGGGGCAGCACAGGGGGTCGGCGGAGCCCCGTCCTGGAACAGGGTCCTCATCCCGGGGGGCTGGGTCCTACCTTATCCTGGGGCTCCCAGCGGAGGCCACCGGGGCCGTCCGTCTCGGCCTGCAGCTGGCAGGTGAGGGCGAGCACCTGCAGGTCGGCGGCCGAGAGGCTGGGGTAGTCCCCGGTCTTCTTGGAGAAGTCGGTCACTGCGGGGAGAGGAGGGAAGGGAAGCGGAGAAGGATACGGAAG